TTTCTATTTCTGCTAATTTCATAGTTTTTGTTTCCTTGTGTTTTGTTCTTTCTGGATTTTTCTTTGTTAGTCTTTTCTTGTTTGAATTTCTGTCATTATTTACACTCATTTATATTTACTTGAGGATATTCATTCTTTTGATATTATAACCTATTATTTTTTGTTTGAAGACTGGCCATCCTCCATTTCAATTTACCTTTTACCTCTGAACTGTTTTTTGGGAATGCATGTTTTTAAGCTCCAGAAAGTATTTTTGTGTACTGCATTGGTATCTTCTAATATGCTGTTATTATTTTTCTGTTCAAATTGTGTCTTTTAGCAGCTCTTTTACATTTACCATATACATTCACTTTCTATTGCTGCATAACAAATTCCCACAAACTTAGCTTAAAACAGCACCCATATGTTAGCTCACAGTTCTATAAGTCAAGAGTCCAGGAGGGCTCAACGGAGTTCTGTCTTAAGGGTGTTATGGGACTGCAGTCAAGGTGTCACCTAGGCTGAGTTCTTATCTGAAGGCTCTGGGAAAGAATCCACTTCCAAGCTCATTCCAGCTGGCAGAATCCAGTTCCTTGCAGTTGTAGGACTAAGACCCACATAGCTCTGAAGTCAGCTGGGGGCCTCTCACAGCTCCTTAAAGTCACCCACATTCTTTCTCATGTGGCCTTCTCCACCTTCAAATGAGCAATGGCGCCTTGAATCTTCCACATGCTTTGGATCTCTCTTATTTCCTCTTCTTCTTTTAAGGGCTCATGTGATTACAACAGGCCCACTTGTCAATCTCCCTATCTTAAAGCCAACTTTGCCATGTGAGACAGTATAATTGTGTGAGTGACATCACATCATATTCACAGGTTCCAAGGATGAGGGTGGGACATATTTGGGGGGTGCGCTTTAGAAATCTTGCCTACTACAGACCATGCTCCAGCCCCCAAAGACTCACATGGCTCCCAAATGCAAAATACATGCATACCCTCTCAAGGTTTCCAAAGGTCTCATCTCATTATAGTATCAAATCAAAGTCCAAAACTCTCATCAGCTCAAAAGTCCAAAATCTCATCTAAAGATTGAGATAATCATCTAAAGCAAGTGCAGCTGAGGCTCTTGACCACAATTTCTCTCAGTCTGTGGATCTATGGAATTAAAGAAACAAGTTATCCGCTCCTAATGTACAATGGTGGGACAGGTAAAGGATAACAGCTATAAACATTCAGATTCAAAAAGGGGTAAAATGGAAAATAAAAAGTAGTCCCTCATACAAAGCAGTGTCAAAATCTATCTGGTCAAACTTCTTATGTGTCCAGGTGTCTTGGCTCTTAGCCTTAATCTGTGTGCTCTGGGCTTTACTCTCTGTACTCTTGATTCTGCCCTCAGTCTCGTCCGTCCTTTTATATAAAAATGGTAGCAGGCAATTTCAGCTGAGTAGTTTATCAGCCTGTTACCCATCAGAAAATGTTGGGTCTGAGAAGCTTTGTAGTCTCTCTACGCCTTTCTCTCCAATCTGGCAGTGTTTCTGCTGATATAAAATTCTCAGACCCGTTGTGGGCATGCATTTCATGGATTCACTCCATTAGATGAAAGGTTCATCCACAGATCATCTGTGGATAATCTCTTCTCTATTTTTAGCTTCTGCTGAGATGGCTGAGGGACAATGACCTTAAGCTTCCTAGGGCCCTCTGGTTTGATTGAGAAGATCTATGACCCTTAATCTCCTGCTACTGAATACTCTGATCTTTTGATCCTTCAGAGTTTCAGTGAAATGTACAACCACATTGTTGGCTTTTCCTTATGTCTTGCTTTCAGAAGCAATTTCTTAATTTTAGTATCATCTGCCGTATGGAAAAATGGAGAATTTCCTGAATCATCAAATCTTGGTTCCTATAGTCACGAACCGTGTATGTCACAGAGAGTTCATAAAATTTATAGAAATTTAAAGCTGACTGGGCTTGGAAAATATCTAAACCAATGATTCTCAGCTGGTGGCCATCTTACCCTCCAGGGAATATTTAGCAATGCCTAAATACATCTTTGTTCCTCACAACTCAGGGGAGGGAGGACTGAGTGCTACCGGCTTCTAATAAGTAGGGGCCAGGGATGCTATCAAACATCCTACAATGCACAAGAAAACTCCCTCCTCCCTACAATGAATTATCCGGCCCTCAATGTCAATATTGCTGAAGTTGAGGAACTCTGATGTAAACAAACTCCTTTATTTTAAGAGTGAAAGTACCTAGACCCAGAAAGGTAAATTTTCAACCCAAGTCACAAAGCTCTACCATAGCAGAGTCAGAATTAGAACCCCACATCTGGTCTTCTTTCTGCTACACTTGCTTCGCAATGATGTTGTGTCTACAGACCCCTCAATCAACAATGGGCACCTAGGCCACTCTTGTTAAGTACATTTTTAAAATGTTTTTCACCATTCAGAAATTGTCTAAAAATACAAGATTTCAAAATTAAGAATGAGGATGATAACCATTTCTTAGTGAATGAACAATACTCCTGCAATAATTCTTCCCATGTGCGTGCATTCAGTGTAAAGAGAGAGATCTTGAGCCGTTGGTCTGCTTTTACATTCTCAGCCCGCTTATTTCCTTACACTTTATTTTTATCAAGCTAGACAATCCACTTTCACAGCTATGGCTCTTTAAAATGTCACACAGTCCCATATACTCAGATAAAACATAGATCCAGAAACTACAGAGAGCTTTTTTTTCCCCCCACAGTCTGCTCTTCACCAAAGCATATTTTCTCAAAAGCTGAAAGGTTAAATATTTCCACTCAGGAAATAATGACAAATGGATTTTGAACCCTATCTCTGTTGCATTTTCCATGTCCTGTTGTATATGGAGTGTGTGGTTTGGTTTCGTTTATTTCCCAATGTGCCCACTTGCACCTCAGTGGGCGTTTTGGCACTGAGTTTAATAAAATACGTGTATTAAAAAGAGACAAACTGCAGTCCTCTTCACCACAGCTCTGGCTTTTTGAGAAATCCTGATATTTATAATCCAATAAAGTGGATAGTATATCAGCCCTGAAGATTAGGCTATTTTAGATATTGTGTATGGCTAAAATATGCAATTCACAAAACTTACAGGAAAATAATTAGAATCTTAACTGGCTCAATTAGCGTTACCATTTTTTTTAAGTTTGTGCATCTTTTCCTCAACAATCAGAACACTGCAGGGTGGAAAGCAAAGGACTGAACCCACTGTCCATTTCTCCTCAAAACACTGTAGTGGGCGCTCTAAGGAGAGGCCCCTTCAGGAAGAAAGGACCTATTCATCCACCTACTGGGAGCACTATTGGAAGAGGACCCTCAGCCTTCAGTCCTCTGCCTTGCTAAATGTAACAGCTCCTTCTAAGGTCAACTTGCATCCAGCGCCTGATCTACATAGTTAAAAAAACCCAGCCCCTTTGCTCAAACTTATGGCAATTCTGAAGGGCCCTTCCTGCTTCTCCAGAGCTCTCCTGGAAGTCAGCTGAGGTCTTCAATGGCACTGTTCAACTTCTCCCGTTGCCTGATCCTGCTTCCTTCCCTTCCGTGCCATGGGTGTCCGTCAAGAACAGACCCTAAAAGACATCCTAAATTCCAATTCTCCGCCAAAGGATTGCTTCCTGGGGAACCCAAGCTGAAAAAATACGCTTAAAAATTGAGATTTGTCCTATGGTATTTCATCGATACTGATCTCAATGCAGCTTTGCAAGTCATTCTGCTAAAATAAATAATTTTGTCCCTTTGGCATATTTTTCAGTGGGTAAACAAAACAAAAAGGCATCCGGTTTTGCTTCCCCATAATCAGTGGATTGTGATTGCTCAGGCTCTGGAGTTGACTCCCTGGTGGTCCAGTGCCTCAGCCATACCTCTAACTTTCTCTGAGCTATGATTTTCCAAGCTGTCAGGCGAGTATAGAAATATTGCCTACTTCATCATCTTTGGGGGTTGATTAAATAAGATTGGATGCCTAAATCACAGAGCACAGGGCAAGTTCTCAGTAAATGCTCTATTTTCTCGAATATCTTGCCCTACTTGGCAAGAGCTGACTCACACATTCTGCACACCAGTGGCCTCAATAACCATCAAGCAGAATATCTGTTACCATGCCATTGATATTATACGACATCCAACAACATCTTTTGATAAAAGAATTTTTCCAGTAGCTCACACTATTCCTTTCCCAAGCATAATATTTGTCATTATATTTTATAAACTTCTCAACCATATTGTGACTAGAATAGGGTTTTGGCTTTTTGTTTTGTTTTGCTTTTTTAAAAGGAGAAAAATTCTGAATGTCTTTTTCACTTTCACAAATAAAATATGTCCATTGAATGACGGAAAGCATTCTTTTATTGTTATTCTGAAAAAAATCTTAGTAAACTTACTAGTGTATTGATTATACTTTAGAATGATCTGAAAATTTGGTGGCTCTATGCCACTATTTCTCAAAGTTTCATATCAGATAGAGCACTGAAATCTTAAGGAAAAATGGAAGCTTGGCCCAACAAAATCAGATTTTCAGACATCCATTGTTCTTATTTGCACTTTTCTTTTACAGCTTGTGCAAATTCATCACATTTAGAAATTCAGCTATCTCAGTACGTGCAGAATCGCATTCTATATTCGCATCCAAGCCCTGTTCACTATGTATATTGATGATGTTATTCGAAGTTGTGGTATTTGCTTTACTATTTTCATCACTGTTTTCATGCTTCAGTTAACAACTTTTGAGCCACTGATTCATTTCTGTGAATCAAGAATATCACACCTTAGAGAAGTAAGAATGAAATGCGGAAGTCTTACGAATGTAAACAAAAATAGGTAAACGAGGGGCGAATGAGTTAGTCAAGATAAACTTCACCCGGTTCACTGACTAAACTCACAAGGAGAAAGGGCCATTGCTGTCCTTGTCGAATAAGCAGTCTTTCAGAAAATAATCATTAATCGTACCTTTCAAATTCAGCCATGTCTGTGAATAAATCATTTCTCCGCATTTCCTCAGAAACCGTCAAACTGTCTGCAGACCATGTGATGGACTGCTGGAGCCACGGAGACCAACAAACCACACTCGGAGATATATTTGTTCTGCCCAATGCTGCTTCTGTGCGACTCCCCAGGCGAAGCCACTGGTATCCATCTTGCCCAAAGTCAGGTGTTCAAGCACTGGGTCAGATTTGCTCTTCTGAGTTGTAGTTAAAACTCAACGTTCAGTTGAATTTTGTTACTTGCCTTAGAAATGTTCAGTTCTACACAAGACAGAACGTAGGGCACCAACCACTGCTTGCATCAGTTAGTTTGGCTTATTAAATGCGCCAAAGTCTTTTCCTTATGTGCCTGAGTTGTTCACAAAATAGATGCCATAAGAATTAGTGTAAAATGTAGCTATACTTAAAGGAATCTGTCTGAAATTAGGGTTACCTGGGCTAATGCCTCGTATACACCAGGGATTCTGAATTCTAACCCCTATTCTGCAAATCACTGACGATAGGGATTTTCACAAATGATTTAGCCTCTTTTAACTCTGGCTGCTCCCTCATTATGAGCAAAGGAACAGATGTAGCTTTCTGGTGAAAAAGCAGATGTCAAAAAGTCAAAATAAGACAGACTTACAGAAGGTCCTTTCTATGAAACCGAGATCCCGAGAATGCTCAAACAGATTAATTTATTACTACTTTAAATTCTAAAAATAATAGCCCAAACTCATGGCTATTGGAATGAAAGTGAATGCCTAAAGTAAAAGCATGGTTTCTCTCTTCCCTTCACCCCCTCGATTCCTTCATATTTTCATGCCTGGATGGAAGTGGAACTTTTAGCCTCTGAGTTATACCATATGAGAAGATAAAGCTGGAGAGAGATTGGCTGTCAATCTGACGGATGCTAGGAGCCGTGATGATGGTCACCCACATTAAAACTGCGAGTTAGATACTTGTCACAACATGGATGGATCTGGAAGACATTATGACAAGTGAAATAAGTCAGTCACAGGAGGACAAAGACTGCATGATTCTTCTTATAGTCGAAGGTACAGAAGTAGACAATGGAATGGTAGTTACCAGGGGTTAGAGGGAGGTGGATATCAGAAGTTGTTCAATGAGTAGAAAATCACAGTTCTACCAGAGGATTAAGTTCCAGAGATCTGCCGTACAATATAATGCCTACAGTTAACAATAAGGTGTTATGTACTTAAAAATTTGTTAAAAGAGTAGATCTCAGGTTAAGTATTCTTTCCACAAAATCATAACAAAGAGACACAGAGAAACTTTTGGTGGTGATGGATGCTTACTACCTGGATTGTAGTGATGGTAACACAAGTATATACGTATGTCCAAACTCACCGAACTGTAAACGTTAATTATATGCACTTTTTCTATACAAATTATACCTCAATAAAGATGGGGGGAAAAGCCAGGGAGTCTAGACAGAGAGATGTTTTCTCTGGATCTAGCCATGTAGGCTCCTGAAAGGATGGCTCAAGGGTACTTCTTGGGGGGTGGGGTGGGTATTGGGGGCTGAGAAATAGAAAAGGGAAGTAGAACGCAGACCAAGATGGGGGGCTTCAAGGTTCCCTTGAGGGAAGATCAGTTCTGTTTGGAGGGAAGGGAGACCAGACGTGTGTGAGGGGGCAACTGTAGACACTCCTTTGGGCTCCGTGTTCAAAACCAGGTAAGTGGGTTGTGATTTTTCTGGAAAGAGTCCTGACCATGCAGTGGTCAGTGGTTGAGGGGCAGGTTTCCCTTTATTAAGATGCACCTTGTCTTAGAGGAAGTGCCATTTTGGGGGAGCTGATCCCCCTGTTTCTTTGCCCCATCCACCCTGTCAGCACTCCACTTTATGCTCTTCTTTCTCTCAGCACCTGTGTTCTGTTCCCAGCAGGTGCAGAGGAAGCTGAACTCCACTGGGGACAGCTCTTCAGTTCTCAGGGTACATACATCAGAGCCCATGTTTTCCAAAGAGATTTTTACTTACATCTTGAAGGTATCATTTTTTTTTTCTTTTTTGGTGAGGAAGATTGGCACTGAGCTAACGTCTGTTGCCAATCTTCCTCTTTTTGCTTGAGGAAGATTGTCACTGAGCTAACATCTATGCCAATCTTCCTCTATTTTATATGTGGGACGCCACCACAGCACGGCTTGATGGGCAGTATGTAAGTCCGCACCCGGGATCCAAACCCACAAACCCCAGGCTGTGGAAGCAGAGTACATGAACTTAACCACTATGCCACGGGGCTGGTGCCCCCCCACACACCTTTTTTTTAATTGAATGTTTCTGTATCAACACTGAGATATCAAAAATATAATAAAATTCTGTACCTGGTATAAAAAATAAAATCTCTTATCAGAGTAAACGCTTAAAGCACATAACACAACTAAACAATGTTCAAACATTTTTCTTTTGGAGGCAGAAAAAAGCATCTTTGTTTCTTTAGTAAAAATTCAAAAGGGAGAATTCATTTTCCAGGTATATAAACTCATCCTTCAAGCCTTGATTTAAAAATTTGGAATAGAAATAACTATCTCTGTGTCACATAAACCAGAACACAATTTTAAGGTGAGGAATAGAAAAAAGAAAAGAGAAAATGACTTTTACTTCTATTTGTGTGTGTGTTTTTAAAAACAGTCATCACCCTGGTATGAATGTGTCATTTAATCCATGCAGGATGACAAATTTCATTTTAGTTTCCTTATCTAGTCATATATTCACATAGTGTTAACAAGTCATTGCTATTCTGACTTGATAGAGACAGCCACGAAAAATTCAAAATAATCATAAAAATCACAAAACTATGTTGCTGCAATATTTCTAACCTTTCCAGGTGCCCTGCTGCTTTAGATGTGATCTCTTAGATGTGCTGTCTATGCCTCTAGCTGTGCCTGGTACAAATAGCACACGTTCTGACCTCTGAAGCCACGCTTTCCAGGCTAGACCACGAATCACACCAGGTGAGGGGCACTAGAACCAGGCGCCAAAACCTCATCCACACATTCCTTTTGTTCCATTGTACGTGTAAGAAATGATCAAATTCCAAATAATTTTGAAAATGCCGGGGCAGAAAAAGAGCATTGGAGCCAGTGGATCAAAGTCTTAATGGGGGAATTCAAAGGCATCAGCTGAAGGCAGGCCACGTTCCTGCTGATGCTGAGTTGTGTGTTTGTGTGTCTGATGCTGCGTGTGTGCTAAAGAGACAGACAGACAGACAGACAGGCAGAAATACAGAGAGAGAGAGAGAGAAGGGGATGGTGGGGGCTGAAATCAAAAGGAAACTGTTTGCAGAAACAGAAATAAGATGTGATCAGATCTGAAAGGGTAAGAACCACCAGAAGGAGTCTCTTCATCGGTCGCTGGAGTCAGCCAGAGTCAGCTAGGAAAGGATTAATAGAGGGAGATGTTCCTGGCTGGCAGAAAACGTCCAAAGAAAGTGTGGAATTCAGAGAGATGTTCACTCTCATAGGGGAATGTGGCCCCATGGAAAGTCAGAACCTACTTCAGGATAAAACAGGCTGAACCAAGAGAAAATGCTGGAGAGCCCACATAGAGTGGAATTTGTTTTGTTTCTGAGCAGGAGAAGGAAAAGAGACCTAAGGGAATTCAAAGAGAACAAGGGCTGGAAAAAAGAGGTGAGATTCTGGAGACATCTCTACCTGGGTTGAAGACACTGCTAAGAAGAAGTCAGGAAATGAAACACTTGAAACCAAGGCAAGTTGAATTAATGGATGCCACCCATACTGCAATACGTACCTACTAATATATTGAATCCTGGAAAAATGTGGTCTTCTCACTAAGCTAACTCTAACTTAGTGTTGTTCTGAAAACCCACTAGGTTTGTAGGAGGCCAGGAAAAAGGTAAGAGAAGAGACAAAGTCAATTCGTATTCCAAATTCTCATAATTCTGAAAAATGTTTCCAAATCTGGTTATTGGAGGAGGAACTTGAATCCTCAAGGGATGGCCGTGGAAAATACCCAGCAGAGAAAATGGGGGCCCTTTTCTGTGCAGTCTCTGGGCCTGCTTTACCATCACCCCACTTGTGTGGCTGCATGAGTGGAATATTTTTTCTTCCACTACAGCAACTTTGGAAGACCTCAGCAAATACAAGTCCAAACCAAAGCCTAAAGGAGGTGGGGATATTAGAAGCAGGATGAGAAAAAGAAACGGTGCATTTTCATCCAAACCACACGTGCCAGACCATCTCCTGCAGCTCATCAGCAAATAAACAAAGCCACATCCTGTTTAGTATTCCAGGGACTATAGGATTTTTATTTGATACCCGCTGCCCAGTTACTCTGGTACGTCATCCGTGTTAAACTACAGGTTTATTCCACACCATCTTGTAGGTGGGCTGGGGCCACTTGGGCCAGAAGCCTTCTCGGTTTGGATGTTTTTCAAGACAAAGCCTCAATTTCATTGCCAAAAATATTCCATCTTCTGTTTCCCCGGTCAAGTCAAGTCTATAAAGATGAAAATCATTTGACCAGTCATTCTCACTGTCCAATTACTTACCCTAATTTATCGTCTTTAAATTTCATGTAATAACTAGATCCTGGCTTTTCCAGGAGTTCTCTGCCCATCTCAGCCCTTACTCTTGGTGTTTGTGCAATTAGTCAGTTTAGAGAGACAGAAAATTTGAGCAATCGCTCAAAAACTCTTTTAGTTTTGGGTAACTGTTTTCCATTGGAATAAATTTCTTTGTTATATTAAAAAAAACCCTTCACTTAATTTAGTCGATTAATGCTTTGTCAGGCTTCCCATAACACTAATTTAGTCGTGGTCTTTTCAAAGAAGCTAAATCTAACATGCATTCACACAGAAATCTTTCATGCAGAAATGCAGAGGGTCATCCCCTGAATGTCCATGCAATGTTATTTTCATTTGAAGTTTCCTAATATTCTTTTCCCATCCACGTATAGATAACGATGACTCCATAGATCATCTTTATGTCACCTGTCAGAAAAAAATGGAGACCCCAGTGCTTTGTTGCTCCTTCAGAGTCTGGGCGCTGCTGGGACAGGGCTCGTTTCTCAGCTCACCAACTTTGTTTTTCCACAGCTCCTCCCTGCAAAACCTTACACTTGAGAGTTTTTATTTTAAAAGGAAAAGCACCAGCTCTGCATATGCTCCAGCACCAGTTTTGATAGCGCTGTTCGAGCACATTGAGGAATGTGTTATAAAGTGGGAGACATATATCCTTTTATGTGTTGAGTATAATGAGGTTTACTGATTAGTCTAACTCACTGAGGCAAATCACCAGAGTTTTAAAGGTCTACTGTTCAGTGCACCGTAAGTAAATTAAAGTTAAAATACTGTCATTACTTAGAACCAGGATGCCATTTTTTTTACCGACTTCATGAACTTATAGGCTCCAACGAATGTGGAGATAAAACAGCATAACACAGTTGGCTGTATATTATCTTATCTATCTTGTATTTACAATTAAATTACTCAAGAGTTCAGAGGTTAATAAGAAACACGAGAACTATCCTTTATATCATAGTAGCTGTAAGTTGGCTGAATTTAAATATAAATGGAGAGCATTAATTTGATTATTTACATACGGGCATGCAAGCTTAAATACGCATGCGCACACTTGATGTCATACTCAAGGAGTCTCCTCACTTTCACTGAGGGCCTTTTAAGTGACAGGGACTGTTCTTTATATACACAATCTCCTGTAAAACACAGAACCATCCTGTAAGAGAGGTATTATTAGATTCACTTTAGAGATGATATAATCTCAACTAATTGGGTAACTCAAACAACCAAAACATCTTGCCTTATCTTCACTGCCCTTCCTCCCCAATCTAGTCTTCCACATTGTTTTTGACCTTGGTGAATGGCCCCCTTCTCTGTTCAGCTGCAGAAGCCAGAAACCTGGTAATTATCCTTGACTCCTTCTTCTCCTTTACCCCCACGTTCAATTCATTAGTCAGTCTTATCAATGTTTATCTCCTATACATCTTTCAAGACTTTCCCTTAATTCTGCCATTCACATTACAAACCTAGACAAAACTGCTATCACACTTCATCTGAACTGTGGCAACAGTCTTCAACTCTTCTTCCAGAATTCATCTTTTTCCACTTGAAGTTCTTAAAGCACATCTGATCATGTTTCCTCCCTGCTTACAACACATCTGTGGATTTCCACAGTAATTATGAAAAAATTCTTTAATGTAGCCTACAAATCCAACATGATTTTGCCCTCTCTGTCTCTTCAGGCTCATATCGCATGCTCTCTACCT